ATGAATGTTTAGATGTTAATTTCATTGGCAGTTTATGATAACTAATGAAGCCCTAATGTAAAGTGTGACGGAACAATAAAGAATCAAAACTTTTTCAAACAATATATAGGGCATGTTGTAGTCCAGATTAAAATGTAAAAAAGTATGAAAATAAATGGCCTATTAAGTCTAAATAGTTAAGTATTTGGCGCTGTGATGAACACCACTGCAAATACAAAAATCTAAATGGCTATTTAAATCATTTAAACACCTTTCAGAAACAGAAAGCTGCTTTGTTTCCGGGGTAACAGCTGCATTATGTTTAGCGCCATCTGCTGTCAGAGTGAATGTGCTTTCATCCAGAGCGTCTCTCACGCGCTCCGCCATGCGCTTCTCCTCCGCGCTTGTTTACATCAGAGTGCACACACGTCTTTGACGCAGCATACAGCGGTGTTGTGCATTTTGACCAGTTGATGGGAAAAGTATTCTTAAAATGCATTCAAAATTCTGAATAATTTGTAATATATAATTATTCACGGTATTTAGAAGTGCCCACGATAACAATATCGTGCATATTCATTATCGTGATATATCGCATTACCAAATACCAGCACATGTCTATTTAGCAGTCTTAAGACTCAATGTAACAACAACAATGCTACTACTACTACTACTACTACTATATTACTACTACTTTTTAATTTTAACTGTAAACATCTGTTGTGCAGCACTTTGTTTGCCAAAAAATTAAAGGGTTTAATTTTCATCTGATTACCAGAAAAATTGTATTAAAACTATATTCACTGAATGTAATCAAAAAATCGAGAACTGGATCAAGAATCGAATCGAATCGAGAGCTTGCGAATCAAAATCGAATCGGGACATCTGAATCGATTCCCAGCCCTAGTTTTGTTGTTGGATGTAATAATGAACATAGCAGTTGTCATTTACTCCCGACATCTGAGCCGCTAAAGTGGATTACGTTTGTATTTGAAGGGAATGCTCCCTCCGATCAACCTAAATGAATTTATGTTCACGCGAATCATTCGTGATCCAGCTTCATGAATCTTTGCAAATCGCCTTTCCTAATAATGTGCTAGTTAGCAAGTTCCACGACAAATGCAGCTAAAGTTTACAGTCTCTCAGAGAACTGGTCGTCACCCCAACGAAAGAGAGGGGCGGGGTGAGCAGAGCTCATTATCATTTAAAGGGACATGCACCGAAACGAGTCGTGAACAGAGCTGTTTTTGACAACACTATTTTTTACACTACCATTGAGAAATTTTAACCAAAGTATGTTATAGACTTTTCATTAAGGCCCTAAAGAATCATATCAACTTGTGGAAAATGGGCATTCGATGACCCCTTTAAGTCATTAGCATAATGCAACATTAAAGGGATAATATGACGATGCTAAAAATATTATGATAATATAAATTATTTGGTGTATTTGGTGTAATGCAATGTGTTTACGCGGTTTAAAGGTTTAAAAAACACATTATTTTTCACATATCGTACATTGTTGTTGCTCCTCTATGCCCCGACTTTCTGAAACACGTCGATTTTTACAAAGCTCATCGTTCTGAAAAGCGAGGTGTGCTCTGATTGGCCAGCTATCCAGTGCGTTGTGATTGGCCGAATTCCTCAAGTGTGTGACGGAAATGTTACGCCCCTTACCATATTTGGAAACACACAGCATCTCCACGACATGGCGGCGGCGGCAACAATACTACAGCGAGAATAAAAGTTACGCCTTCTTTCTTTGCGTGAACGTTTGGGCGGCGTTATGCAAATCTTCCCACACAGTGACGTAGATATGTCGGGGCGTGTTAGAACGAGCCGTTTTAGGAAGGCGTGGACAAGTCTTAACTTTTATAAAGAATATCTCTTTGGGTTTGAGACTTTAGTCTTTGCAACTTTACGGATCTTATATATGCACGAACAGCTTGTAACACTCCAAAGAGAAAGGAAAAACTTGAAGTCGCATCGTATGACCCCTTTAATGACCTCATCAATTTACAGTTGTATCTAGTAATCATTTTGGAAATAAAAACATTTATGTTGCTTTTCTTAAGTGAAAAATTATAACTGTAATTCGATTTCATTTGTCGTCTGGAAATGCAAGCATTGCATTGCAATATACATATTACAGGTATGAGTGGCATGTTAGTATGCTATCACTGCTGCAGTTTGGTCTCTGCTGATGTCTGGCCGATGTGTTTGGACAGGAAGAGTTTTGTTTCCCGGTGGAGTGTCTGGCTCTGACGGTGGAGGAAGTGATGCACATTCGCCAGGTTTTGGTCAAAGCCGAACTGGAGAAGTTTCAGCAGTACAAAGACATCTACAATGCCATGAAGAAGGGGAAGGTGAGAACTGCTTTTATCATTTAGAGCAAACATTCAGAAGCAGCATGTCAATAAAACAGGCACTGCAATCATATAGATGGAAAAGGTATAATGCATGAAGTAAACAATAGTAAAAATTATATTAAACATATATATTTTTAAAGAAATTAATACTTTTATTCAGCAAGGACACATTAAAGACATTTATGATGTTAGAAAAGATTTCTATTTCAAATAAATGCTGTTCTTTTGAACTTTCTGTTCATTAAAGAATCCTGAAAAATAAAATGTGTCACAGTTTCCACAAAAATATTCGTCAGCACAACTGTTATTGATAATAATCAGAAATGTTTCTCGAGCAGTAAATCAGCATATTAGAATGATTTCTGAAGATCATGTGACACTGAAGACTGGAGTAATGATGCTG